GGATCGGATGAGTTTTTGCTTTAAAACCGATCCAAACCAAACCGCGAACACCCCTAGACTCAATGGATCTTTCATAATTTTAATTGTTAATTAATTAATTTCTAAAAATAAAAAAATTAATTAAAAGTTATTAATATTAATTTATTCTATATATAAAATATTAAAATTTGGACACATCAGTGTTAAAATTGATTAATTTCTATAATTAATTTTAAAAAAGAATTATTAATTTCGTGAGTTGGTCAAAATGCGAGTACTAAAAAATTATTATTATAAATAACTTAAAAAATAAATCATGAAAAATATTAATATAAATGATTTTAAAAAACAAAAGAAATAATTAAAAAAATATACTATATAAAAAATTTAAATAAATAGCACGTGAATTTAAAAAATAATTGGAAAATAAGAAAATGTCACATAGAACGGTCACATTGAAGATTCTCACGTCCAGTCAGCAGCTGAAATAATCGGCTGAAATTGCGGGGTTTGATTACGAACACAAATAGCACACATATGCGGAATTACCTTAAACATGTCTTTAAATAAATCAGAGGAACTGCTGACATGCTCCATAACTCACGTTCCATCATACAATTTGAAAGCAATAAAGTGCGGAAATATTAAAAGGAAAGCAATGAAATACCAAACGAATAATAATCTGTAGTAAGCAAACAAAAATATAAGAAACCCGGAAAGCTTCGAGTGAGCTAGTAGCATCAACAAACAAAGTGTTCTGGACTGGGTCTGCCCTTGACCCAACTCCATGTGAGGCCCAACCCAATTATATCAGTCAAGATATACTGGTCAGCTCTGCCCTCGATGAGGCAACTTCCACTTCACTGCGAGGAGGCCACCTCACCGCACGAGGATTAACACACTCAGTCTGGGGAAGGTCACCACCGGTCAGGAGGACCTCGAGGTCAACCTCTGATTCCCTTCCCGACCAAGACTGTGTTCATTGCACGAGTTCGCGTCTGGCGGGGAGCATCAACGATCTCCGGGACCAACATGGGCACCTCGCGAGCATCCTCCTCGTAGGCCTGACTGTCACGTCTCCGAATATCACGAAGTCTTCGTGGCCCTTGAAAGACTTCATTCATACCCTCCTAATATTGCGGAGGAAGTCATCCAGGTGGGGGACCACGTGCGGGTCCCTACTACTCACGTTGGGCCTGCTTGACCAGCCCAATGAGTAGACCTTGGCCCAACGTTAGGGGCTATAAATACCCTCTCTTTTGAGAGGGTCGGGTATTTAACACTTCTTACTCTCATATTTGCTTGCTCATTTCGAAACTTACTTTGGCATCAGAGTGTCCTGCAGGTACCCTCCCTCCTCCCCTCACCTCACTCTCAAATTCTGCTCGGAGCAAGCTGTTATTAAGTTTTACCGCATTCATAGTGATTTTGTATGTAAAATCCAGGTACATATTAGATCAAGATTCTAAACGTTCTTACTTTTTATTAAATCTAGAAATCATAATAATAGATTTCTTATTCAATTGAATAGCTTTTATTTATATGTCTCCTATAAATTAAATTTAGGTCAATTGAAGTGTTAATTGCTTTAGTTTCTTCATATCGTGTTCATTTTGTTTATGATCTAAGTGTATACAACAATCATTCAAACACACATATATATATATATATATATATATATATATATATATATATATATATATATATATATATATATATATATATATATATATATATATATATATATATATATATATATATATATATATATATATATATATATATATATATATATATATATATATATATATATATATATATATATATATTGTACATAAATTCAACTACGTCGAGCAAATTAATTAAATTGATTTCGAAAAGAAAACTTTTAAATTGGTCTTTTGAGGAACGGTCTATTCAACGCCTCTTATAGACCATTCAGGTCCATATTTTCCCCTAACAGTTGATCTTATAGTTGATCTTTTGATAATGTCTTATGAATTCAAAAGTTGAGAATATATCAAACGATGGCCCAAAAAGAGCGTACAATATAGCCCTAATTTTTAAAGGCGGAAATTATGCGTGTTGGAAGGATAATATGTACGTTCACTTAATGTTAATAGATAAAATGCTTTGTGTAGCTATCACAGACGAACTTTTTGTCCATAAAAGTGATGTCAATGAGATTGTGTTAATTATTTTTTGAGATTAATGTGCAGAAAATGACAGTCTAAGGTAACCGCCATGAAGGAATCACATTATCTAAAATCTTTGGACGTATCAACCTTGTTTGCAAAATTGATTGACCATGAGAATGAATTCAAAATACTTGTTGCAAGTGAAGTCAATGCAATAAAGAAAGAGAAAGTAAAAGAAGAGAAAATGGGCATATCCTTGAAATTTTCATCTTTCAAGGCAAGAAAAGTAGAGGAAAATGATGAAAGTTCTGACGAAGATTCTTCCAAGGAGGAAGAAATGATTTTATTCGTCAAACGCTACAATAAATATATAAAGAAATATCCGCTCAAGCATTCAGATAAGAATCTAATTAACTTTAAGAAATCTCATCCACATAACAAAAATGAAAAAAAAAAAAAAAAAAAAAAAAAAGGAAGCTAGTTAAGTCATTTGTTATGGATGTGGAAAATCTGATCATTACCATATTGCGTGTCCAAGCCTTAACAAACGCAACAAGAAAGAGTCATACAAGACGAAGGGTAATCATATCAAAGTCTGTGGAGCTTATATCTCTTGGGAAGATGAAGACGGAAGTTCTTCTTCTTGTTCGAGTCCAGATGATAATGAATCTACTAATATGTACTTAATGGTGCACACAAAAAGAAAAGGCTTAGAGATATATGATTCTAATTCTGATTTTAAATCATCTTATAATCAATTGTTGCCTTATTTAGGGGTGTGCCTGCCTTTTTTAGGCCAGTCCCTACCAAAAACGAGAAGGACAAGACAATTAAAATAGAGGGAAAGGTTTGAAACATTGACTCGATCTGTAAAAGGGTTAAGCGAGCGTACTCAGTTTTCCACCCTACTTGTAGTAGTTAGTTAATGTTTATTTGCTAGTTGAAAAGTTAGTTATGCATATTGTACAAAAGTTAGACGTACATCTACTATTTAAGATAACATTTGAGAATCATGTTGAACATTATATTATTAAACGAAGAATGTTCAATTGAATCTATGAACTCAATTCTTAGTATGGTATCATCGACATCGAGTTTTGATAACCAAATGTTGATGTATCATTCCTTTTAATTTTATTTTCTTCTTCTTCCTCGTCAAACAAAAACCAATAACCTTACATCAATGAAGAGATTAACACCACAAGATGATCCAATACCAACAACACAAGAAATTTTAAAGAATTTAACATAAACAAAATTTAATTGTTGCGGAGTCAATAGGTAAATCGAGTAATCACAACTCATAATCTTCAGAGTTTCATTATGAACCCTTAAATCCATCTTAAAGTATTATTGAGCAAAAGAAAGTCACGTTCTTGACAAATCACTTAAATGGCTATCCTATTATCAAATGTTGTTTACATGTTTGCTATGCACACTTTCTAATTAGGGTGCAAACTACATTTTAGGTATGACTATGAGACAAGGTGGCTTAGTTGTTTCAGTGCGCTCAATACATTGAAATTACCTTTAACCTGCCAACTAGACATACCAGTTCAGAACCAGATTATTAAACATTTCAAATCACAGTTTTTGCATTTGACAACATAAGCTATAATCTACTATTATCTTGTTGGGTAGGCTTTTAAATTTTTTAATAGTTAAAAACTAGTTTTAAAACTAGTTAAAAGCCAAATATTCAAATTTTGAACTGTTTAAAATCAGTTCAACAACAAAGAACAGTTGGTTTCAGTTCATACGAGTAGCAATTCAGCTCAATCTAGTTCATAGTTCGGTTCGCACATGTTCCATTCGGTTGAACCCTGTTCAGTTAGAAAATTTGAAAAATGATGATTTCTAGTAAACCACAGTTGCAAAACTTTTATACACACATTTATTATTATAGTTTATAAAGACTGCTTCTTCTAGAAGTAGCTCCTGCCGATACAAGTCTGCAAACTTGAATCGATAAATGGGTGTGCAGATGCGTTAAGTTTTAACAAAAACCTATTGTTTCTGTTATGCCTTGAGCTTGTATGACTTTTGTTTTAGTAATGAATGACTCTTCCCCTCTGTTATGCTTTTTCTTACTGCTATTAATGATTACTTTTATCCCATAATGATGACTGTTCATCTTTATGCATTATGAAATCTCTAAGTTGTAATTGTAGTAGAACTATTAGGTTCATAAGGTGATTTGAAATTGATGTTTCTTATGATCTAATGTCTTAAAGATTAATTTAACCATTCATTAATTTAAAATTAGTTTTTTCTTCTTTCTAGTTTGAAACAGAGAAATGACAACAGCAAAGTTATTAGAGTCCTCTAAAATTAGAGAGCATTTCATTCAAATACATTTGTAGTATGATCAAATTTTTAATGAATTGCTTTGAGTCAAAGTCATGTAGTTGTGATCTTGATCAACATGCATAAACTCATCAGAATAATTTACCTTACAACACAATTTCAAGCAGTGACTATTGACCAAAACATATATTAGAATAAAATCCAGCCACATACATAAATAACAGTGAATCACATAAACAAAGCTATCGATGTTAGCAATAAACAAATAGTTAACCAAAAAACATTTCATGTCATACTACATTAGCTCATGTAGCACACTTACTCATATTACAAATGTACTCAAACAAAACACATAGTACTTACTTACAAATGCATTCAAACATATGATTCAGAATCTCATTCTTCTTGTTTGCATCATGTTCTTAAGCTTTCTCACTTCCCCGTGAATGCAAAGACTCTACACATACATAGCCACTTGAGATCATCCTGCATTGTAACAGTAGGAGCCATGCTCTAGTTCAATGTAAATAGCAAAGGAGAATATTTCACAACTTCGTACGTCTTGTTTGTGTCATCTTAACCTTGCTGGTTGTCACCATCACTAGGGAGCGAAAGCAGAGACTCTGTATACATAGTCACTTGGCATCTAAGATCGTCATTAGTATAAGATTGTTGCTCTAGAAATTGTCCATTTTTATCATACTTCACCAATCCACTGCCAAAATCGGCATCATCTGTCCCAACAATATCACCACTTTTTGTACAACACAATGGACAAAAGTCCTTGTTTGGGATGACATCAATAGGAAGAGCAAGAGTCATAGTCCAAGACGAATTCACTTTGTATTCTTTCATCACATATATATCAACTGTGTCATTTCTAAAATTCCTAGTGTATGCACTGAGAAACTCTCCATATACCCATAAACTACAATAATGCTTATGCCCACCATCAGAATCAAGCGGCAAAAGCATGTATGAAAGTTTCTTTTCCATTAAATCAAACGCAACAATAACTTTCATTTGTAAATCATTATGATAAGCCAACCAGTGAATAGCCTCATTATAGAAAGACCCGCCTTTGGGCGGAGTGGGCTCGCCGTAGACATTCACATTGGCATAAGGGAAGTGAGGACCCTCAACTTCTTTCCATGTATTAGCTTTCAATGAGAAGTATTCCAAATGTAATGGAGTATTATCTGAACCATGATGTGACATTAAAACAACCAAGTAATCCTCAGTTGAAGGGTCATAACCAAAACCATAGAAATAATCAGCATTTAAATTGGAACCAAAAGGAGATATAGGTATTTGATTGTGAACTCCCGTATGGATTCCATATGTAGATTTGGAAGGAACAACAGAAAAGTATGAAGCCTCTACAAGACCCTTTAATTTCAAAATCTGTACAATAGTCTGGAAAGATACAATCAAGGTCGAGTGTAGCAGAAGCATTGTAATCATCAATCAATGGTTCAAAATTGATAGATAGAGTTTCAAGGGGTAAAGTTGATATGAACAGAATTCTATGATTGGGTTGGGTGTTGTGGTGGCAGTGACTTGAAAATGTGAATATGCAAAGTGAGAATCATGAGAGATAAGAGAAAACCAAGACTTACAAACACATTTGAAACGTATGAGAGACTTAACTGGTAACCACAGCAAGATTTGGAAGATCAATTCTTGAGGCAGCAACATGATTTTCTTGTTGTACCAATGTTGAGTTTTCTTCTCAACTCAGCTGCATTGTTGGTATTCTTAGTTGCAGCTCCTTTAGGTTAGAGATAGAGATAAACATGAAAGAGGAATTGGGCTCAAACTATATTTTACTAATACAGCCCAACAAAATATTTCTTCATAAAACTAACATACTCTTAGTACTAACATACGTCTTGTTTGTGTCATCTTAAGCTTGTTGGTTGTCACCATCACTAGGGAGCGAAAGCAGAGACTCTATATACGTAGTCACTTGGCATCTAAGATCGTTATTAGTATAAAAATGTTGTTCGAAAAACTGTCCATTTTTATCATACTTCACCAATCCACTGCCATGATCTGTCCCAACAATATCACCACTTTTTGTGCGACACAACGGAGAAAAGTCCTCGATTGGGATGACATCAAGAGGAAGAGCAAGAGTCATAGTCCAAGACGAATTCACTTTGTATTCTTCCATCACCCATATTTCAACCGTATCATTTCTATAATTCTTAGTATATATGCTGAGAAATTCTCCATATACCCATAAACTACAATATTGCATTGGCCTACCACCAGAACCACGCGGCAAAAGCATGTATGAAAGTTTCCTTTCCATTAAATCAAACGCAACAATAACATCCGTTTGTAAATCTTTACGATAAGCCAACCAATGAATAGCTCCATTATAGAGAGATCCACCTTTGGGCGGCTGTTTAAAGTGATTCCTATTGACATAAGGGAAGTGAGGGCCCTCAACTTCTTTCCATGTATTACCTTTCAATGAGAAGTACTCCAAATGTAACTGAGAATTATCTGAATAACGACAACAAGACATTAAAACCACCAAGTAATCCTGGGTCGAATGGTCATACCCAAAACCATAGAAATAATGAACACGTGACTTGGAACCACCAAATGGAGATGCAGGTATTTGTTTGTGAACTACGGTAGATGGATTCCATATATAGATGTTAGAGGAACGGCAGAAAAGTATGAAGCCTCTACATGAGCCTATAATTTCAATATCCGCAAAATACTGTGGAAAGATACATTGAAGGTCGAGTGAAAGAGAAGCAATGTAATCGTCAAGCAACGGTTCGAAATTTATAGATAGTGTTTCAAGGGGTAAAGTAGATATGAACAGAATTTTATGATTGTGTCCTGTGGCAGTGAGTTGAAAATGTGAATTTGCAAAACTGGAATCATGAGAGATAAGAGAAAACCATGCCTTACAAACACATTTGAAACGTATGAGAGACTTAGCTGGTAACCGCAGCAAGATTAGGATGATAACTTCGTGAGGTAGAAACATGATCGATCTTCTTTTACGAATGTTGTTTGCAAGTTTTCTTCTCAAGTAGCTGGGTATTCTGAGATGCAGCGCCTCTAGATTAGAAATGAAGATGAAAGCGTAATTGGACATAAACCCTAGGCGACCTTTACTGACTCAAATTTTGGTCACACTTTGCAAGTCCCAATGAGAAGAAAAGTTGCAGGGTGGCTTTTTTTTTTTTTTGAAAAAGTTGGGGGAAATTAATTATAACATCCACCGAATGTACAAGGTGGCATCGTTCTGTGCGTTACTGATATAAAAGTTCTGGGGTGGGTGGCTGACACATCGCAAGTCTTAACGGGAAGAAATATTTATCACCTCGCGCAAGCTTTTTATTATTATTATTTTTTAAATATTAAATTAGATTTAATTAGATTTGATTAGATTTAATATTTAAATATAATTCAAGTTCGTGTTAGTCTGAACCCAATTAGGGTTGTATATAAATAGTCATAGTGTGTAGCATTATTTATATAATTTAATAATATAAATTCTTATTTTCTTTATTATTCTCTCTTTCTCTTTTCACTAAAAGTGTCTCACGCACTAACAAATTGGTATCAGAGCTTTCAGTTATTGTTCTTGATCAAGTTTTCAAGAATTTCACGTCAGAGATCGTGTTTCTAGGGCAAAGTGAATCAACCGCTGTGAAGATGGTTAGTGATAAGGGCGTTTCGAATTCTCTTCCAATGCTTGACGGTAAAAATTAGATCCGATGGAAAAAACAAATGCAATCCTTGTTTGGCTTCCATGAAACCCTAGAAGTGGTTACCGACGGTGTTTCTGCATAGGCTGCAAATGCAACCGACGAACAAAAAAAAACCCACAACAAAGTCAAGAAGAAAGATTACAAGGTTGCTTATTACATTCAAACGACTGTCGATGCTGCTAATTTTGTTAGAATCTTTCATGCTGAAACGGCGAAGGAGACATGAGATATTCTGGTGAAGTATTACGAATGAGGTGAGAAAGTCAAGGTCGTCAAATTACAAACTTTGCATCAACAATATGAGTTGTTGTCGATGGGAGAAGATGAAAAGTTGTAGAATATGTGTCGAAGGTTCAGAAACTCGTTCATCTCATGAAGGGTTGTAGTGAAACCATTACTGATAAGATGATAGTTGAGAAGGTAGTGAGAAAGTTGACCTCTCACTTTGATCACGTTATCATAGCTATTCAAGAATCCAACAATCTTGAAACCACTAAAGTGGAAGATTTGGTTGGTTCGTTGGAGGTGCATGAGATAAGGATTATCGAAAGGAAAAGAGTCATGACTCGATACAGGCACTACAAGCTCAGTCATGAAAAAAGGATGGTGGTTCCAACAAATTCAAAGGCAAGTTCGACAAGACTCATGGCAAGAAGCCTTGGTCGAATCCTCATAAGAATAAAGTCGAAGATAGATCTTCTGAATCCTCGAAAAGGGGAGGAGAAAACTATTGAAAGGTCAAAGAAGATAAAAAAGGTATGCAGTGTTATAATTGTGAAAAGTGGGGACACTTGGCCAAGAATTGTTGGTACAGAAAAAGACAAGGGATCGACAGGAAAGAACGAAGGAGCGAACCTTGCACGCCAAGATTCAGATGATTCAGAAGGTGGTATGGTGGTTAAGGTTGCAGTTACAGATAACCATGTCGAATCCAAGATCTGGTTTTCTCGACTCAGGCTACTCGAACCACATGACTGGTCGAGAGGAGTGGTTGGCAGATTTTGACGAGTCAAAGAAGAGCAAGGTAAAACTTACTGATAATAGTTCATTACAAGCAGAGGGTACTGATAACATAGTCTTTTCAAATGAGTAATGGAGGGAAAGCTATGATCAAAGATGTTCTCTATGTACATGGAATGAAATGCAACTTGCTAAGTGTTGGACAACTAGTCGAAAAAGGTTTCTCAATTGTCATGAAAAATGAAATTGTTTGACACCAAGAACAATTTGGTCTTAAAATCTCCATTGTCGAAGAACAGGACATTTAAGACTATGATCAGTTCGACAGAAGTTTAATGCTTGAAAATTATTGTCGATCACAAGGATAGTTGGTTGTGGCATTTGAGGTTTGGACATTTGAATTTTCGATCACTTAATCAACTGATTACTCAAGATATCGTTACTGGTATTCCAAGCCTTGAGATGCCTGAAAAACTTTGTGAAGGTTGTTTAATGGAAAATCCAGAAATTTTTTCGTTTCGACTATGTCAATGAGATCGTCCTGCATTCTCGAAGTGGTCCATTCAGATCTATGTCAATGATTATTTTATAAGTAGTATGCTATACTATAATTTTAAAATAAAAATATAATTCATAATATATATATATATATATATATATATATATATATATATATATATATATATATATATATATATATATATATATATATATATATATATATATATATATATATATATCGGGTAAAATTTGATATATAATTATTCAAAAAAATTGAATTGGTCAATTGATTAAATCGTTTTTGTGATTATAATGAGTACGATATTGTAAACGTGTAGTATAAAATATTATAAGTACTATTGTAGTTGTATGTACGATTGTATGTATGATGGAAGACGCGGATTTAAATCACATTTTAAGGAAGGAGTTAAAGTGTTTATTACATGGACATTTGATTAAGAATGTTGTCGGAGAGAAGGAGGAGTAAGATGTTCGTGTCTTAAATATGGATGTAGACGTATAATAAGTAATCCTGAAGAAGTAGAAACTCATTTGAAGAGAAAGGAATTTAGGGATAATTATTGGGTTTAGACATCAAATGGGAAAGAAATGCCAATAAATATGCCAAAGACTAGTAATTTACAATGGGGTTTAAATAGTCGAACACATATAGAATATGAAGAACAATTTAATCTACACGATGACATGATTGACAATGCTTTAGGGATGAACGTGGCCTACGATGAACAATAAGATTTGGATGGGGAAGAAAGAGGGATCAGTCCTCCATGGATGAGAAAAGATGTATGTAAAGAAATGCTTGCTTACTGGAAATCATATCAGTTTAAGAAAAATTCTGAAAAAGCAAAACAACGTATAGCATTTGAAAGGGGAGCCGCTGATCATAAAGCTTGAAGCATTAGTATTACCGAATATGCTGAACGAATGGTAAATATATTTTCATCTCACTATTTTTTTAAAATTATATTCTTAGTTGTGATATATTTTTAATTGAAGTTCTATGTATTAATTAGACTAATGCTAGAAGAAGAACCTCATTAATGCAAGAACTTCATGAGAGAACTTATCGGGGGAGAAATAGAGAGTATAGCGACGATCGTGCTCGAAGAACTCAAGTAAGATGATATCAATATTTAAATGTTATATCTAATTCTTTTATTTAAATAAATTGCCAAAACTCTATCATTTAATTTAATTTTTTTACGTATATGTAGGCGTAGTACCAAAGACTGAAGACAATATTTTTATCTCAACATTCTGAGTTAGGTGGTCCATGGGGGCAACATCCTCTTGATCCAGCTATCGATCAATATCTTTGGATGGAAGCATGTAAGGGAAAGAATAAAAATGAAAAAATTTATGCTACTGAACCTTTATTCTCTAACTACAAAAAATGGGATAGGTATTCCTTATTTGGGAGAATTGCAGACGGGGAAGGGTCCTCATGTCCTCTGACATTAACCCTTCAAATGGCTGAAACAATTAGACAGTTTGCTCAAAGTGAAGCACCACGTGAAGCTGCAAAAAATGCTAAATGAAAGAAATGAGAAAAAAACAAATTGAATTGGAAGAAGCATTGAGAATATCACAAGAGCAAATAAGGCGTACGCAAAAACAAATGCAACAAATATAACGAATGTTTCAACAACAACATGGTAGTGGCGAAGTTGGAGCGGTTGATGACCTAGGAGCGGTAGGTGAGAATGAGAATGATGAAGACAACGAGAATGACGATGATTATTTGGATTCATGAATTTAAATATTTTAAATTTATTATGAATTTAATTAGTTATGAATTTTTAAAATTAATTATGAATTTAAACATTTTTAATTATTGATGATCTTAACATTTTAAATTAATTTCTGAATTTAAATGATTGATTATATTTATATTATTATAGATATTACAATTAATATTTAGAATAATATAAATATATTATATTTTTTTATTATATTATTTGTGGATTGCGTAGTATAATTCATTTGATAATTTTTAAATATTTGTCAGATGATTTTCATTCAGCAACTTATAGTCAATTCAAAACTTGTCAGGTGAAATTCATCTCGCAACTTTCTCTAATTCTAGAAAAGGGGTTGCGAGATGAATTTCACCCAGCAACGTTGCAAAGTGAATTTCACCTGACTAACTAGCAGCGTGCGTTTCATCTGACAACCTGTTGCGACTAACGTTTTTGCGGAGTGTTTAGTATACCCCACAATAATTCAGTTGCAGATTGATATTTGCATTTGCGAAATGCTTTTCACCAGACAAATTACAGCTTTTTTGTAGTGTAAGGTATTTTGTTATTATGTTGAATAGAATACAACCAGATGAAGAAGACTCAATTGAATCTCTCTTGAACTCAATTCTTGACAAATAATATATTAACAAATAATTCATAAAAAGTGCAAAGTGAAACAAATTTGAGTGACTCATTCAGAGTTCCTCTATAGAACTTCTACAGCTAACCAACTGCATGAGAACTTGTGTTGCTCTCATCCTCCCACTTGGACGTTCATTCTCTGTCTTTTGGTTTCTGATATCTTCTGATTCCAAAGAGCACCCTTCAAATGACAAAGACCCTCTATTCTCATCAAACTTCCTTGCAGCAACATTTCCTGGATAACGCCTTTCACCTTGCAGATCCATTTCCATCCTGTTCCTATTTATCATATCATCGGTCTGTGTCCAAGCATTACAAGAATTTTCAGCAAACTCCCTGCATATATTTGCCTTGTAAAGCTTGCAATCGCATTGCGAGTCCTTCATGGTGGAAGAAAGGGAGTCTGCAGCATCTATGTTATAACTGTTTCTATCATTGGAACTTTTGGAGCTTGGCATTGATAATATTGTCTCATTGGACGAATGGCTTGAAGGTTCTATGAGTTGTGTTCCTTTGAGGACATATTCATGGTTGCTACTCGGGGAAATGAAATCGTTCTCGGATAAATCTTGCCACACAAATCCATTTCTGTAATTCCTGGATAAAGGAATGGTCACATCACATAATTAACATTGTTTGAAAGAAAAAAACATTCTGTACGACAATAATTGCTTATATATACCTCTTGGTAGACCATGAATACATGTTGGCAATTCCTGGACCTCGGAGAAAACTCAATGTATTCATCACATCTGATCAGATAAATGGAGTAAAAGGTTATTTCAACAGAAAGAGAAAAAGTATTATTATATCATAAGTTTGTCTGTTTTTCTTTATTATACAACATTTGTTACCTTTAAGACGCAGAGTTCCATGTGGAGAAGAGACTGAAACATACATGAGATGAGGATGCTCAAGCTGTCCATTTCTGGAAAGGTAGTATAATACTGGAATTTCATGATCAGCCTGAGTATGCTTGGAGTTTTCATGGCTTGCCTCACTTTCTAATGTTTTCCTTTCCATGGAAAGTTATTTTCTTACCACTAGTGTCTAGAAATTTGCTTCCTATTTGTGTCAACACAAAGAAGTAATGAATTATTATTACATTGTGGAGTCTGTTTGTTTGCATTTGGTATATAGCAACAGATTTTGAAGGCAAGAAGTGAAACATTTCAACTATAGTAAGTACTCTTGGCTCACGGACCAAAGTGAGAAAATTCTTAATTTACTCAATGTATAATGAAGTCAAGAGGAAGGGAAACAAATGGACAAGTTTCCCAACAAAGAAGCTGAATATGCGGAACCTTGATAATCATGTTTTCAACCATTTGTTTCTTTCCATCTTTTTGTCTTTTATGAGACAGAAAGAATTGTGGTACCAAGAAGAAAAAAGACAGTACACTATTATATATTGGAGTTTTCCTGCCTGATTTAAGTTTGTAGTTGAAGAGACTAATAATTCACTTGGCATGTTGATTAAAAAAAACAAGACTTTCACATAACAATACATAGCATGCCCTGGTTAGTATTCATGCCATCTTTTTAACCAAATATGGAATTTCTCATTTTGGTAAAGCATTGTTTATCCAATAACTGGTGGAAGAGACCATGATGAGTTGCAACTGATTTTTCAACTGCACTTGGCTTCGAGCCTGCGACTGATTTTTCACCTGCACCTGGTTTTTTATTCAAAGGAACTGCACTACTTATCCGGACAGCCCTTCTAAATTGCAAATAATCAAATAACATAAAAATTAAAGTTTATTAATTTGTAATGTCATCCCTGTGACACACATAATGTAAATAGAACATCATTTTTGAATCTGCAAAATGCATCAAGTTTTAAAAAGCGACAAATTTAAAAGTTAAAATCAAACATGCACTCTTTTAGGACATCTATAAAAGCATCGTGGTTTAGTTTCAATCAAACCATGCAAGGAAAAGAAACTCCTTTTTATACAACAACGCTGGCAAAGACAGTATAAAATTTCAATGGGAGGCTAAACAAATTTTCACTTCAAAAGAAGATATACAACAACTCCAAGTAGTAATTCTAGCACTATTTAGGTTCACGAGGTGGTTTACTTTTGATGTTTCTTATGATTTAAAGTATTAAAACTCATTTAATTGGTCATGTAAAGATCATTAGTTTTAAATTAGTTAATTTTTTCTGGTTTGAAACAAAGAAAGAACAAGTGTTAGATTTAATCTATATTTTAGGAATATATTTTAGATATTAATCTATATTTTAAGAATATTTTTTAAGAGAATATTATTATATTTTTTATATTTTTGTGAGAGGATATTTAAGATTTTATTTTGTGTATAAATAACCTAGCGAGGTATCTCAATATAATTCATTCTAAATCATTATTCCTTATTTTTGTAGTCGTCATTTAATATGTTCTTTTGCATTTCATCTCTTCTTTGTGCACTAATAATTGGTATCAGAGTTCCGGTTCGAAATCCACGGGAAACACGAGAGAACAGTGAGGTGTTGTGTGATAATCGTTGTTTTTGATTTTGGGGATTTGTGAAACACTGCTTTATTGAGTTTCTGCGTAAATTGCACAAGGTAGAAGATGAACGGAAACGACGACGATGTCCATTCCAAGCTTCTAGTATTTAATGGCAAAAACTAGAATCGTTGAAAGATCCAGATGCGCGTGTTATTTGATTCTCAAGATATGTTAGATCTTGTCACTGATGACTATGATCTGTTAGAAGCAGACGCAACAGAGGCACAAAAGATAACACAGAAGGCGCTAAGGAAGAAAGATCATAAGGCGTTGTTCTACATCCATCAATATGTGGATGCAAATGTGTTTGAGAAGATTGTTGATTCTGAAACAGCAAAGGCTGCGTGGGACACACTGGTCAGATGTTACGGTGGTGACGCATCAGTGAAGAAGGTGAAGCTTCTGTCTCTTAGAAAACAATATGAGAATCTCAACATGAAAGACAACAAGAAGGTTTCTAAGTACATCTCTAGAGTGATTCTGATCACTAATGAGATGAAAGCTTGTGGAGAAACTCTTTCTGAACAAATAATCATTCAGAAGATATTGAGATCTTTAACTTATCAGTTTGATTACATTGTGGTAGAAATTGAACATTCTAAAGATCTGAGCACCATGAGAGTAGAAGAGCTGCAAAGTAGTCTAGAGGCGCATGAGTTGCTTATGACTGCGAGAACTTCTGAGATGGAAGTAGAGCAGCAGGATCTAAAAGTAACTTCTAGTAAGAAGTATCAGAAGCAAACTTGGTCAGAATACAGGAAGAAAACTAAGGATGGTCAAAGGTCAAAAACTTCAAACTCTGATAGGCAGAAGAATATCCAGAAGGGAAAGGAGAAGTCTAACAAGAAGAATGTTCAATGTTATTGTTGCAAGAACTTTGGTCACTATGCCAAAGATTGTTGGTCAAACAATGAAAGGAAGTCGAAAGAAGCAAATATATCCAGAGGAGAGTCAGATGATAAACCTGTGCTATTGTTGACTTCTGAACCTGATGATCTGAATTCATCAGAATGGTGGTATATGGATACAGGGTCTTCAAACCATCTTACTGGAAACAAGAAATGGTTGGTTGATTTTGACTCTGGGAATAGTACAAAGATCAGATGTGCTGATGATAAATACCTCAATGCAGAAGGTATGGGAAATGTCAGTGTCATCCTAAACAATGGGAAAGCAGTAGTGATCCAGAATGTATGGTATGCTTGTATGTTGATGACATATTGTTAACAGGAAGTTCTGAACAAGAAATAGTTGAGTTCAAGAAAGTTTCGATGAATGCGTTTGAGATGACAGATCTTAGGAAAATGAGTTTCTTTCTAGGGGTGGAGTTTATGTATTCTGAGAAAGGAATAATTTTGCATCAGATGAAGTATGAACTTGAGCTTCTGAAGAGATTTAAGCTAGAAAATTGCAAAGTTTCTATCACATATGTTGATACAAATCAGAAGTTGGACTCTGATTCTGATGGAGAGGATGTGAATGCTACAATCTTTAAACAGTTGGTTGGTTCTCTAAGGTATTTGTGTAATACCAGACCTGATATTTGCTATGCAGTTGGAATGGTTAGCAGATTTATGAGTAAACCAAAGCGGTCTCATTACCAAACTGCTGTCAGGATTCTGAGGTATGTAAAGGGAACTCTGAAGTATGGAGTGTTATTTCTGTCTGGAAAAAAGATCGAATAAGAACTTCTGAGTTATTCAGACTCTGATTAGTGTGGAGATAAAGTGGACAGAAGAAGTACTTCTGGGTACTTATTCAAATTTCTGGGAGGTCCTATTTCTTGGTGTTCCAAGAAGCAACATGTTGCTGCTGTCAACCTGTGAAGCTGAATATATTGCAGGCGCTCTGACTGCATGTCAAGCTGCGTGGATTCTGAACTTGTTGCAAGATTTGAATATTGAAGTAGTCAAACCTCTAAAGCTGGTGATTGATAACAAGTCTGCAATCAATCTTGCCAAGAACCCAATGCTGCATGGGAGAAGCAAGCATATTGAGACCAAATATCACTTTCTGAGGAATCAATTTCAGAGCGGAATATTAGAAGTTGTGCTCTGTAGCACCTAGAAGCAGCTGACAAATGTTCTAACAAAGGCTATCAAAACTGATCAATTTCTTCGCTTGAGGGATGAAATTGGTGTTGTCAGTTTTGTATAAAATATAAATTAATGGATGGTGTTATATTTAATCTATATTTTATGAATATATTTTGTATATTAATCTATATTTTAGGAATATCTTTTTAGAGAATATTATTATATCTTTTTATATCTCTGTTAGAGGATATTTAAGATTTTATTTTGTGTATAAATAGCTTAGTGAGGTAGCTCAATGTAAATCATTATTTCTTATTTTTATAGTCGTCATTTAATATATTCTTTTGCCTTTCATCTCTTCTTTGTACACCAACAACAAACATCACAATTATAACCCTCCACTAAAATTAGAGAACAAAACATTCTATCTCATTCAAATACACATGTTGAGTTATGATCAAACTTTTAATGAATGCTGATAAGACAATTTAAAGCAGTGACCATACACCAAAACATATATTAAAATAACATTAAATCACACAAAGTTGTCAATGATACCGATAAACAAATAGTTAACCAATAAACATTTCATGACATATTACATTAGTTCATGTGACACACTTACTCATATTACAAATGTATTAAAAAACATATGATTAAGAATCTCATTCTTCTTGTTTGTATCATCTTCTTAAGCTTTCTGACTTCACCATGAATTCAAAGACTCTATATGGGATCATCCTGCATTGTTACAGTAGGAGCCATGCTCTAGTTCAATATAAACATCAAGAAAATAGTGAATGAGAATATTTCACAACCTCATACTTCTTGTTAGCGTCATCATCTTAAGCTTGCTGGTTGTGACCATCACTAGAGAGTGAAAGCAGAGACTGTATATACAAAGTCACTTGGCATCTAAAATCATCATTAGTATAACAATGATGCTCAAGAAACTGTCGATTTTTATCATATTTCACCAATCCTCTGCCATCATCTGTCCCAACAATATCACCACTCTTTGTACAGCACAACGGAAAAAAGTGCTGGTTTGGGATGACGTCATATGGAAGAGCATGAGTCATAGTCCAAGGCAAATTCACTTTGTATTCTTTCATCACAAATATAACAACAGTAGTATATACGCTGAGAAATTCTCCATATACCCATAAACTACAATAATGCTTTGCCTACCATCAGAATCACACGGCAAAAGCATGTACGAAAGTTTCTTTTCCATTAAATCAAAGGCAACAATAACGTCTATTTGCAAATCATTATGATAAGTCAACCAGTGAATAGCCCCATTATAGAGAGACCCATCTCTGGGCGGCTCCTCGGAGAAACACCTATTGGCATAAGGCAAGTGAGGACCCTCAACCTCTTTCCATGTATTAGCTTTCAATGTAATGGAGAATTATCTGAATCATGAAGAGACATTAAAACAACCAAGTAATCATGGGTTGAAGGG